AGACGTGTGCCACCAGGTCTGGCAAGATAGCATTGCTTCTGATCAAGGAAGACATTTCAACAGAAAAGCAGCATTGAGCTCATGCCCATGGAATTAATGGATACAGTCTCATAGCCCACCCGCTTAGAAGCAGCTGGCCTAATAGAAAGATGTAGCAACCAGTGGGAAGGTTATACCCTGAGAAGATGGGGATCTACATGAAAGGTTGCAGATTGCCTTTGAGTTAGAGGTAATTTTATGGTTTTGTGTTTCTCATATTTGGATGACATGAGTGAAGCTACCAGGGACAGGGGAGGGACCGATTTGTCACACTATTCCATCTCGTTGCCTGCTCACAGAAGTTTTGTTTTCCATCTCTGTGACTTTGAACTCTTCTGGTGTGAAGTCTTGATTCCTAAGGAGTAAATGCCCCTGTCCCCTCACTAAAGGAATAACTGCTGATGATTCAGACCCTTCACACAGATGGATCACCCCATCATATAAAAACCCCAGCCGTCTGAGGTGCTGGAGGAAGACCAAGGAAGCACAACACGGGTAGCAGGAGGAGGAATTTATAAGCATCATTTAAAGCCTTGTGATGAGCTACATACTTGGTACGCATGTGTATACATTATTGCACACTTCTCTTTCCTTCTTACTGTACTATCTTACATAAGATTTGTTGGAAGGTACAATGTGTTTTTAAGGCAAAGTTCGGATGGCACTTTGACCGAATTTGATAATATGGCTCAGATAAGAATACAATTCTGAATTTGGAAAGAAGGTAACAATGTCTTGGGTTTCACTTTTTTTTTTTTGTACTGGGAATCGAACTCAAGACCTTACACTTGCCAGGCAGTCACTTATGCTGTTGAGCTATATCCCCAGGCCACTGTCTTGGTTTAAAATGAAGAAACCTTTTTTGTGGTCCACCAAAGCTCACTTGTTTGTGGAGTAATGTTGCAGGTGCTGGCCAGCGACTGTATCTGTCATGGAGTTACTGTCTTCTGGCTTTGAGCCTGCCCTGCCCTATTCTGCTGTGGGATCCTAGACCACATGTCTGCACTTCCAGTTGCTCTGCAGAGAGGACATTCAGTGGAGTCTTCAAAGCAGGAGGAGGAATGAGGGGTTTTTGTCTTTCTTTATGGTTCCTGAAGGTTTCTGCTCTGCTTTGGTTACTGTATCGCCCTGGCAAATCTTTATCACAACATAAAGTTTTTTCTTCTTGTAGCAGAAGCAGAGCCCAGGTTGTAGTTTTCCTAACACTTGCCGAATCAGCTTCACCGTGTGCTCTCGGGGCCCCAGGCAGTCAGTGCCCTTTGTGAGGCGTTTGGGTCCCAGTCTTGCAGATCTTCTGTGAGCTCAGAACATAGCACTGGGTGTTTCTGTTTCTCAGGCTTTCTCTACTAAGTTTCTGATTTTTAATATTTTCACTTTTTCCCCATTTGATTCCTCTGTTCTTAGCAGTCATGACCTTCCTGGTATTTTATAGTTGTCTTTTACATCTTATAGTTACTATGGTGATTTGTTTTATCTGTCAGTGGACTTGTTCACTTACGTCTGGCTTCCCACCACAAATACATATTTATTCTCAAGCATGAATAAGCTGTTATTCTGAAGCTATGTTGTAAGGGTGTTGAACACCAGCCTAAAGTTGGCTTAAAGTAGAATTAATTACCATCAGTCATGAGGGTGGGTCTCATCTTATCAGCTGAAAGACCTAAAGAGCAAAAACTGAGTTTTTCTGGAAGAAGAAGAAATTCTGCCTCAGATGGAAACATTAGCGCTTTCCTAAGAGTTTCCAGTCTGCCACCCAGCCTTATGGGTTTTAGACTTGCCAGCTTGCACAATTGTATAAGTCAGTTCCTTGAAATAAATCTATTACATACTTAAGAGGTTCTAGCTCTGTTTCTCTGGTGGTTCTTTAGGGATACAGTTGCCTAGTCCAGATCTTTTACCACATGAAAACTCTCTCTATTCAAATACTGGGCTGTTTTCCATATTCTGACTGAATTCTAGTGGATTCAGCCATACGCAATTGGAAGTTTTAAATAAATACTCCTAAATGTGAGTAGCTAGTATCGGCATAGATTGTGGTCAGTGGGTAGAATATTGCCCAAGCAGAGGAAACAGATGCCAAAGCAGGATGTGTGGAAGATTAACAACAGACAATGGCTGGGACACGGGTGGGCAGCATTCCGCAGTGCATAGCAGAGAGAATCAGAGCCTCTGGAACCAGCCGATGGAACTCAGATTAGAATACATCTGCACACACTCAAATTTAAAGAACAAGTGCTTTCTATGAAGAGCAGCATGAGTGCTGCTAGGACAGGACCATCTCAACGAGCAGGAAAAGGACAGAAAACCTTGGGTTAGATAAGAGGAAGCCATGGGGGAGGGAGCAGAACGTAATTGCTGAGATAGCTCTAGGTAACAAATCACCCAGAGACTTACAGGCTTAGAACAGCAGTGGTCATTCATTTTGATCACAAATCTCTCATGCACGGCTCAGCTGGGCAGAGCATCTGGGCTGGCAGAATACACTTGAGGTCTGCGGCTGTGATGGTTCCCTGAGCACTTGGCCAAGAAAGCAGGCTCTGAGCTTCCTTTCCAGCTGGGTTTCTGTCCAACTTGGTGGGGTTCACTTATGTCTGGATTCCAAGCTCAAACATCCCAAGAGCGATAATATAGGAACTGACAGGGTCTTACTGTCTGGGTAAGAAAACTAACACAATGTCAATAAACTGGTCACAGATCAAAGGCAGGAAATATAGATCACGCTTCTCAGTGGAAAAAATGTGAAAGAATTTTGGAGCCATCTTTCATAAAACTATTACAGAGGAAATTTCAGAAGAGGCAATTAAAATTTTACTCTTGAGAATTTACAGCTGGACAAATTAACTGGCAAAGGGTATTAAGTTCTTTTTCCACTGGCTGGATGTAGTCACACAAGTCTTTTTGAGATCCTGAGGAAGTGCTCCTCTCTTTGTTGGTGCACGTGTGGCTGTCTTGGTTAGGCCAATTTCTGATTGTCAGACATGACTTTGGGAGCTGGAGTAGGTGAAACGTGAACATCATTAGTGGGAAATGTTACCAAGGCAAATTATAATTAAACGTATCTCAAAAGCCCATTGTTACGGCTTATATCTAGATGTCCTGCTAAAGCCCCATGTGGTCATAGGCTGGGCTTTTTGGAGGTGGCTGGATCTAGATGTGTGACTCTGGGCTCAAGGATGTGATGCTGAGATTGATTCATGGTGCGATGCTAGGATTAAGGCTGCCCTTCCCTGGGTGTGAGCGCTACCCACCCTAAGGGTAAGTAGCCTGGATAGAACATAGAGCACAGAAAGAGGGTCTCTGCTTGTTGCTTGTGGTTTGCTGCTGGCTTCTCTGTACTTTACTGCTTTGTTGTCTTCTTGCCTTCTGCCTGCCGTGGAGTGTTTTCTTCTCTGTGCTGCCCCTCTGCCTCTGAGCCAGCCAACTACGGGCTGAAATCTCTATGAACTGTGGGCCAAATAAACCTTTCCTCCACTGACTCTGGGTGTGAGGTATTTTGTCTCAGCAACAAGAAAAGTAACTAAGGCACCTATAGATAAAACAGATTTATTATGTAGTGAGGAACAAATGATAGCAGGTTTCTCTTTGGAAATAAAACAGTTGAGAAGACTGTGGAGCAATATCTTTAAAATACTGAAAGAAAACAACGGTGAGCCTAGAATGCTATATCCAGTGAAAATATCTTTTAAAAATAAAGATAAAGTTTTTTTGTCCCCCAGACACACAAAAGTTTAAAGAATTCAGTGCTAACAAACCTGCACTACAAGAAGTGTTAAAGAAATTCCTGAAGGCAGAAGAAAATGACACCAGATGGAATTCTGAGTGGACAGAAAAGAATAAAGCATATGTGAGATGGTATTATTTGGGTAAGTATATACAATTTAAAAAAAAATCTTCAAATGATAACTTCCTATTTAAATTTGTCATTAATGTGTTTTGGTGTTTATAATTTAAGTGCAGGTAAAGTATATGACAATAGTAACATAAAGCCGGAGAGTGAAGAAGTGTAAGTACACTATTGTAAAGTTCTTGTGCTTTAGGAAGTGAGATAGTATGTTTTGAGGATATTTATATTCATCTATCATCTATCTATCTATCTATCTATCTATCTATCTATCTATCTCTAGCTTCCCAAAGCAACCACTAAGACAATAAAACAAGGTCATATACACTAAACTAACAAAGGATATAAAAGGAATAATAAAAAATTCAAAAGAAGACATAAAAAAGAGAAAGACATTAAAAACAAATGGCGCTACTATAGTTTGGACTCTATGTTCAATGGCTGTCGTGTAAGATTATACCAGCTAATGACACTGTAGCCATCTTTTTGCTATTGATTTCTAATTTAATACCATCATGGTCAGAGAATATATTTTGTATACTTGAATCCTCTTAAATTTATTAAGACTTATTTTACATCCTAGAATATGGTTTATCTTGGTACATATCTATGTACACTAGAAAGTAAGTGTGTTCTGGTATTGTTCAGTTGAATGTTCTATATATGTCATCTAGGTCAACTTGGTTGACTAATATTGTTTAAGTCTACCATATCTTTGATAAATTTTCTGCTCACTTATTTTATCTATTATTGAGAAATTATTTTTAGAATCTTCTACCATAATTGTAAATTTGTCTGTTACTCTTTGAAGTTATATGAGATTTTGTTATAATCTTTGGGTTTTTGGCAGTGCCAGGGATTGAACTAATGCCAGGCAAATGTTCTATACTGAGCTACATTCCCAGAACTTTTTACCTTTTCTTCTGGTTTTTTTTTCTTTTTTTTTTCTTTTAAAGATAAAAGGGGGGAAACATTAACAGACATACAACATTTTACAACATATCACAAGCACAGTACAGACAATACAGAGTTACAAACAAAGTGGTAGGGAATTAACAATGGCTGTTGTATTACATACTGATATCTTCAAAGTGGCTT